CCCCATTTGCCGGAGGTGGCGGGTTCAAAACCAGCCCCAGCCAAAAAAAAAAAAAAAAAAAGAAAATTGAGAAAGAAAACCCAAAAAGAATAACAGGCTGGGACTCAGAAAAGGATCCTGAAGAGCCTAGCTTCATACCTGATGCTAAGAGGGTGCTTGATGCTCTTTCTCCTTCTCCCCCATCCTCACAAAATATGTTAGAGTGCCATCAAGACTATCTGTATACTTTAAATCAGTGCTTGTCAAACTAAATTTTTATGTGTGGGCCTATCACCTGGAGGGAATCCTGTTAAAGTGCAAGTTCTGATTCAGTAGAGTTGGTGCAGGAATGGGAATCAGGCATTCCCAACAAGCTCCCAGGTTATGCCTATACTTTTAACTGGGGACCATTCTTTGAGTGGCAAGAACCTGACACTTCTGTGTTCCATTATTTAATAAAACTACCACACGAAAAACTCTCAAGGCTCAAAGGGTTAATTATTTCTTTAAACAATTAACCCTTCCATTTCAGCTTCATGTAGTCACTGGCCCTGCCAACTGTCCAGCACCAGAGAAGGCAGGCATAATAAATACATTGTTTAGTCTTGGATGGTTCACAGCACCCTCCTACAGGAAGACCTTGCAATAGTTTCTCCACCTCTTTTGGCTTTTTGATCTTACCTTTTGCCTCTGATGATAATTATCCTTTAATTAGCACCCACTACCATGTCATTGAAATAATTATAATAAGTGTAGCTTGCACCTCTGCCAGTGATCTTCAAACAAAACAGTAAGATTCTAAACCACCGATTTTTTCAGAAAAGACAAAAACTGACCCAAATAAAACAGTTCTGCGAATACTACCCACAGTGGAAGAGACAAGGCTTCCACTGGTATGAGCTATAGAAGTTTATTTATTTTGAAGGAAGAGGAAATGCCGATACAGTATTTGAGAAAATGTAAATATCAAGATATAAATTTTGCAAGCATTCACATAAAGTAAAACAATTCGATCATGCTAAAGTCCACCTTACTCTTATTAGGAAGGAGGGCTGCAGGGTCTCTGGATTGAGCTTCCTACTCTGAGCTTCCTGGTTACATTGGAGGAAGCTTGATAACTTCTGAGTGCATTCAAAGCACATTAACCATTTGTGTGCTGTTTTACTTAAAGAGTTAAAACAAACAGCAACAACTTATACTTTTGTGGAAGAAGGGGCAGGCTTTTCCCTGAAAGCAATGGGTAGTTTTCTAATTTCCCAGGTGGTCTCCATTAACCATTTAACAAACAGCAGTCTGTAACCCAATAAATCTTGCACTTCTTTTAGGGGGATCTAGAACACTGTTTTGCCATTTAAGTCTTAAAAAAAAAAAAAAGAAAAACTTTCCAATTTTCTGAATTACATTTGACACATAAAAACACCTCAAAACGGTGTGCAGAGAAAAAGAAATACTCCTCCCATCGTCTGCCACCTCCCCGTTCTGGGCAATCACCGGTTCATTTCTTCACACTTTTTCTTAAGGACAATTTCAGACATTCAAGTAAAGAGCAATAGAATTAGCGCGTGTGTCCACATCATACAACGTAAACAATGAGAAACATTCCTCCAGCTTGTTTTATTCACCTCCCCCAGTTTTTGTAAGAGTATTCTAAATTCCAGACACCAGACCATTTTATTTGTCAAAACTTTATCACGACTTTTTAAAAAACCTAAACAAAAAATCATCACATTACCGTTATCACACCTAACAAGGTAAATGATAAATCTTTAAAACCATCCAATATTCTCGGGATCACTTTTAAAGGGTGAGGGACAGATGGACAACTCCAGGAGATTTGAAAGGGTCCGCATAAAAGCTCCGGGGTCAAAACCGATTACAGCCGCGGCAGTCTGGTGTCCGGGGCCCAGAGCCTCAACCGTCGTTATATCCGCCGGGCCAGGACAGGTAGTGCTGGGTCGAGGGAGGCTCCGGGCCGCAAGTTCGCCGCCTCCACGCTCCCTGGAGGCGGCCCCTACAGGCCCGGCGCAGCTGCACAACCCACCATCCCCAGACACCGGCGGGTCCCTGGAGGGGAAACGATTGACACAGCTGCCTGCACTGCGCCCTCCACCCCTCTCCCCGGCACCTGCGTCTCCCGGCCAAGCCGGGAGCTGGATACGGCTCACGAACCCCGCCAGGCCAGGCCCGCGGCCACAGAGCCGCCAGTCACCCGTTCCCCCGCCAGGTTCTCAGCACCGAGACCTCGCGGACCAGGACTACAACTCCCGTCGGGCATCGCGGACGGACCAATGGCGGGCGCCGGGGCATGCGGGGCGCGGCGCCTGCGCGGCGGTTTGAGTAAGCGGCCGCGCGATTGGCTGCGGAGTCGGGGGCCGCGCGGGGCCTGTGGGAAGCGAAGTGACGGAGCGAGCGGCTGTTGGAGGAAGGAGGTGGGGGCCGGGAGCGCAAATGGCGTTGAGATGGTTCAGGGCCCTGTTCAAACTCCAGTGCTGACCATTCACCGTCGGAAGCGGCGGCGCAGGAGGTGGCGGCGGCCCAGTGGGGGCACGTAGCGGGCTCCGGCACCAGCTCCTGCGGCGGCGGTCAGGAAGGGCTAGGCCCGAGCCCGGCCGGCGGTGCTCGAGGCGGGGAGGGAAGTTGCGGGGCCGCCGCTCCTCCCCCCCCTCAACCGGGCTTCCTATTTACTGAAAGCGCGGAGCCCCTTACCTCCCTTGGCGCCCCCGCCGGCCCTGTACCTTCGCGCGGGGTTCCCGCGTCCGCCCGTGGGCCCTTGGGAGCGGGAGAGGCGGAGGCGGCCCGTGGCCAAAGCACCCGCCAGGCGCCGAGGGTAAGTGAGGTGTCGTGCGGCTTCCTAGGCCAGGAGGGAGCCAGGGAGGGTGGGGAACTCAGGGGGCTGAACAGGGCGATGGAAGTCTTACTGCCTTGTCTACTTAGTCTTTGAGGAAGTTGTTTAGGGGGACGGTCTGAAGAACTCTCTTTTTTCCTCTCTTAATTTCTTTTTCTGAGTGCTTTTTTGAGCGGCTGCTCATTGACTTCCCTCCCTAAACCCAGTCAAGTGTGCTGATTTCAGCCTTTAGTCCTTTCTGGTGGTTTTCCTCTGCCCCTGGCCGCCACAGAGGCCTTGCACTGCCCTAGGGATTTGGTGGTAGAGGCTTCTGGGGCGTCGGGAGCAACGTCCCTTTCCCGGGCGATGGGGGTAGGGAGGAGAAAAGTTGCGTGAGCTTCCAGTCCAAGGGGGACTCTTAGTCTATTCTCTCCGGGAGCGCCAGCCGCCCCCAGGTGAGGATCTCTGGGTGGTTAAGTTTCTCCCTTAAAGCCCTTGGAAACTGGGAAGACGCTAGATTTGGGGGGGAGATAAGTGCGAAGACTTTTTTTTTTTTATAATCGCAGCTCACTTTCCTCAAATTTCGACCTGACTTTGAACTGAGGCAAAGGCCTAACTAACTACTGAAAAGATCCATCTAGTCGTGAATCATTCTTTCCTTTTTAGTTACTATAGTCTTTGGAGTTTGAAGCCTGAGCAAAATAGTTTGTGTTCTTGAAATATACTTAGAATATAGTACAGAATATGTCTGCACACTTATTTTCGACTTATTAGGATTGTATGCTTAGATAGTGCCGTTATAAAAGTCTACTGACTTCTAAAAAATGGTTGTGGGAAACGATGAAGAGAGTCAAAAGTAGGCGATATTATATAATGAACTCCCATGTACTCATCGTTTCAATTCAGCAGTTATTAACTCCTAACCAAATTCGATTTATCTATACACTTCCCATTCCTTGATGTTGGAAAATTGCTGATACCATTTCATCGGTATTTCAGTATGTATTTCTAAAAGACATAGGCAATTAAAAAAAAATAATTTCTTACTACACTTAAACTAATTAACTCCTTAGTATCAGATATTCATCTTTAGACTTTAAACTTTTAACACTGAATGCTTTGTGGAATTGGGACCATTTTAACAAGTTTTTCTGATGCTGGCCTGAAGGAGCTCTAGTCTGGATTTTTGGTTTGGCCTTTAGTCAGCATTTTTAGATGATTACAACTTAAGTGTATCCAAAACATTCCAGCTTTGTTGGTATATATGTAAATGTAGGTCCAGATCTCTGCTTTACATCCTTGAAGGAATGAAGAGAAATGACTTCTTGTCCGTGGTAGCTGCCTGGTATACTTAGTCTTGTTTAGATTTTCCTTTACAAGAAAAACAGTAAGACTTCTTAAATCTATAATAAAAGGGAATAAAATCTCCCTCAGGAAGAGGGAGAATTAGAATTGGCTCCTTACCAAACATGGGAGGCTGGGAATTCTCTACTGAGTATATATACAGAGTGGACATAAAGTTCGTGTGCAATTTAGAGTAGTTTAATATAGTAAATTGTATGCAAATTTATGTTCACCTTGTATATAAAACTAAGTTGGACATAGATTCATGATTAAGTTGTAAGAATTTAAGTTAATAAAGGGAAAACATTCAAAGGTATAGGTTAGATATTTCAGTTGTAAGTCAGTTATCATTTCAAGGTAATGCAGTTTTTCAAGCCACTAGATTTGAAAGTTTCATTTTTTAAAGTTATATTTGACGTATTGATATTTAAACTGCAGAAGGTCAAAGTGTAAGAAATGGATATGGATCAGTAGTGTTTAAAAAGTACTATAACTTGTTTTTAAAAATGTTTGACTCTTGATTTTCTGCCATGAAAATAGGAAAATAAAGGTTACTTGTTTCCATTCCTGTAGTAGTCCATGGAACTGGCAAATACACCAGAGTTCACCAGCTCCAGAAAGCGTAACTCGGCAAATGAGCACAGCACTATAGGGACAAGGAAGGTAGAATAAACATAGTTTCTTGCGCTCAGGGAGATGACCACTTAAGGAATATTTTTTATGTCACATCCAGATTACATCACACCAAGAATCAGAATCTTCAAGGTTAGGTTAAAAGCTGCAGGTTGTAATACATAAGAAAATAGCACCATCTTTCTGACCTTTTTTCTCATCTGAATAAGTGCTGTGAAATTTCAAAGAGCTAAATTTAGTCAACTGTTTGACATTTCTGAAATCCTGAAAAAAATTAACATTTTGTGCTTAAAATTCTATATTGGGGGTAATTGCCTGATTCAGGTTACTTTTTAAGGTAAAAAGGATGTTTATTAGAATAGTTGATTAATTGGGAACTTTTAAAAATTGTTTCACTATAATTTGATTCTGTGGCTTTTGTATTACAAGTTTTTTTATTACTTTGTAAGGAGCATGTGAATAAAGAAAATTGACATGTGGAAGCATATAGAGTAAAAAATGAGCCTCTTTATCCCCTTCCTTAATTTATTTAATCATTTTCAAAGATTTGTGGTATAGTGAATGTCAGAAAGTCAATGGGGGAGAATTCCTAGTTTCTTATTTTTATATATAGTGTTTAACGCTTGTTAAGTATTTATGATTATATATTTCCTTAAATTTCTTTTCACAGAGAATATGAAACAGGTGTCAAAATGACATCCAGATTTGGGAAAACATACAGTAGAAAAGGAGGAAATGGCAGTTCTAAGTTTGATGAAGTCTTCTCCAACAAAAGGACCACCCTTAGCACAAAATGGGGAGAGACCACATTTATGGCTAAATTAGGGCAAAAGAGGCCCAATTTCAAACCAGATATCCAAGAAATTCCAAAAAAACCTAAAGTGGAAGAAGAAAATACTGGAGATCCTTTTGGATTTGATAGTGATGATGAGTCTCTACCAGTTTCTTCAAAGAATTTAGCCCAGGGTAAGGGTTCCTCTTATTCAGAATCTAGTGAAGCTGCTCAGCTGGAAGAAGTCACTTCAGTACTTGAAGCTAATAACAAAACTGGTCATTCGGTGGGTGAAGACAGTGATATATCTGATAAATGCTTACCTTTGGAGGATACTTTGCTTGGAAAAGAAAAGAGCACAAACAGAATCTTAGAAGATGATGCAAGCATAAGTAGCTGTGCTAAGTTGATGACTTCAGGTAAGTTTTGATTTTCTTTATTTCTGAATCAAGAGAGTTTTGTACAGCAATTTTTTATTTAAATTCTAAAATACTGTATACTTGTGTATTCTTCATTCATGATTAGCGAGGACTAGAGATAGTTTTATATAAGAGATTTAAGAACTTTAAAGAAACCAATTGGAAAATGAAATTTTATCTAAACAACTTGGATATGAATGTTTCTAGACTCTTATCCAAGGTACATTTTGGGAGCAGTCTTTCATAAATCCCTAATCTCAATTTCAATAAAAAACATCTCTTTTTGTTGTGTTAGGATTACACGGTATCTCATTTCTATTACTGTTGAGATTTGGATGGTTACTGATAATGAAAATGATATGAGTATTTACAGCGAGGATTAGGTAGGAATGTTAGACTTCTCTCCAAAAGTAGTTCAGCAAGATTAAGCTACTAGTGAATGCAGACATTAAAGAATTGTACTTTTTGTAAATTGAGATATTTGCAGTCTTTGGGCCAATAGCAACTTGCATTGATAGATTTTAATCCACAAAACTTGTATGTTAATTTGAAATTATGACATGTAGTATTCTTGACTAAAGCCATCTGTTTTGCCAGTTAATACGCCCACTCCTGTAAGGGGTTTGACAAATGATAATGGTAAAGGTACGATTAGAAGACTGAAGACCTAAGATTGAAAGTGGCAGGGCAGAGGTGGGGAGGGAGATTGAGCCATCTTGTCAGCAGTGGGATAAGGATGGCACTATATCATAATTGAAAATAACCTTGTTTTTCCACAACTTGGCAAAGTTTAGCAATAAATTCATATTTTGAAAGGAAGTGAAGACAAAACTTTCCTAGTACTTAAGAGGAATTTGTCTTTTGGAAGCTTAATATGAGGCATATCAAACAGTACAATGGGCTGTGCCTTACATAGTTTTACTGAAAATGCTGAGCATTTTTTCATTTCTTTTTGTCACCCTTGGATAAGAGGCTGAGCCAGCTGTTATTGTCATTCGCTTGATCCTCTGGGTTAATTCTCATTTGGCTGTTCTTACTGCTTTGCCCACATTTCTCCTGAAGTATTGTTCATGAGTTAAAGCTAGCTTAAATTTTCATTTAAAAAAAAAAAAACAGCATAAACATAGAAAAACTAGCCTGAAGTCATGGCACGTACTTGTAGTCCCAGCTACTCAGTAAGGCTGAGGCAAGAGGATCCCTCGAGCTCAGGTTGCTTTGAGCTACAATGCTAGAGCACTCTAGCCTGGGGCAACAGAGTGGAACTGTCTCAAACAGACAAACAAAAATAACAAATAATAACAAAAAATAAATAGCATAACAGTTTCCAGGACAGCTTCTTAAAATGTATGATAATCATAGGACTTTTGACTTAAAGTGAATTTTAACTCAGCTCTCCTTATTTTATAGATGAGGCTCATGGAGGTTAAGTGACTAGATGATATAAGGTCATCTAGTGTCAGAATGGGAATGAGATTCATTTATTGAGTTTTTTTTTTTTTTTGAGACAGTCTCACTTTGTCACTCTTGATAGAGTGCTGTGGCGTCATAGCTCACAGCAACCTCAAACTCTTGGGCTTAAGTGATTCTCTTGCCTCAGCCTCCCAAGTAGCTGGAACAACAGGTGCCCACCACAACATCTGGCTATTTTTTTGGTTGTAGTTGTCATTGTTGTTTGGCAGGTCCGGGCTGTCTTGGAACCCACTGGCTTTGGTGTTTGTGGCCAGCGCCCTACTCACTGAGCTATGGGCACCGAGCCTGCAGTGGTCATTGTTCAGCAGGTCTGGGCTGGGTTTGAACCCACCAGCCTCAGTGCCTTAATCACTGAGCTCATGTACTGATTTTTTTCCCCCAGTGTTATTAAGCACCTACTTTTTGTCATATACCACTGTGTAAGCCTCTGGGAATGTGGTTCCACTTGAGTTATCTAGTATTTTTACTGCCTTTCTTCTTTTGAGATAGTCTCACTCTATTGTCCCAGGCTAGAATGCTGTGCTATCATAGCTCACAGCAACCTCAAACTTTTGGGCTCAAGAGTTCCTCTTGCCTCGGCCTCCACATAATTGGGGCTATAGGCACCTGCCATAACACCTGACTAGTTTTTCTATTTTTAGTAGAGACAGGTCTTGTTCTTGCTCAAACTGGTCTTGAACCCCTAAGCTCAGGCAGTCCATCTGCCTTGGCCTCCCAGAGTGCTAATGCTAGTATTAAGAGGCATAAGCCATTGTGCCTGGTCCTGGAATTATGTTTTTAAGTGCATCTCTTTTGCTATAGGAGGATATATGGTTAATCTTTTGAGCTTTTGACACTAGTAAAATTCTTTCTTTTTTTTGCAGTTTTAGGCCAGGGCTGGGTTTGAACCCGACACTTCCAGTATATGGGGCTAGGATTTTTATTTTCATCAGTAAATGCTGCTCTATTTAATCTCTAATTT